TTTTAAATATTTTTATTGTTATCACATCATGAACGCGGATATCCAACTTGGTTTCGGTAAAGCAGGTAAGCGCCTACGCAGAGGCTGAAGTCTCAGTACATAAAAATGTATGCATAGTGTCGCCTGCGCAGAGGTGAATTTGTCCTGTTGTGGAAATAAGGTCTACACATATTTCCTAGTTAGTAAAATGTCTATTTACTCATCTCACGAAAACTAGTATATAAGCTACACACACATATATTAGTCAAAATGGCTGCTAGAAGCTTCTAACCCCTCCTCCCCAATAATGTCGACTAACTACCTCGTGCAGCAAGATGGCGCCGGGAAACCGTGGGAGACCCTCATGGTCCTGGTGACATCACCCTCAGTAGGCAGAGCATTAGGAAGACCACTTAACACCTAACCAATTATTGATGTATTATTCCATGTTATCTCTGACAATGCTTATGATGTAATTTTGCTTTAAAAGGGACCTGCCGTCCCCTCTGAATAAACTTTCCTCAAGTTATTCAACAACCTGGAACCTGTGTCTGGTGTGAATTACTTCAGGGAGCGTGCACGCATTGTTTCACTGATTTGGCCAGGGGCAGATACACAAAGAAATAATCAATTTATTGATTGATTTTTCCATTTCAATTGGCGCCCAACGTGGGGCCACCGGAGGGCCGGTTCGGAGGGCCGGAACCAACGGACCGGAGCGGACCTCCGGAAAGTGGGACAAGCGGAGCCTGATCACCTCCATAATACAGCCGTTGCCTGTGTTATTCTCCTGTTTTGTGTCGGTCTGTCTCCGAGTCCACTTCCGGCTTCCAGAAGGCTACTAGAGACAGGTAATTAACTCATCCGGTGTCCCTTTTGAACGCACCTGTCGATTGTCTATCTGCCTCCTGTATTTGTATGAATGAGTGTGATAACCGGTTTCTTCAGAAGTTTTAGCTTGACTGCCTAGCGGGCAGGGGACGCATTACAGCCGGTGAGGGCTGGGTTTTAGCTTGACTGCCTAGCGGGCAGGGGACGCATTACAGCCGGTGAGGGCTGGGTTTTAGCTTGACTGCCTAGCGGGCAGGGGACGCATTACAGCCGGAGAGGGCTGGGATTTAGCTTGACTACTGCTGTGTTTTCATTAAGAATTGTGTTACGGGGAGCCAGCCTGGTGGGGGGGGCTGGGGATTGTTGCAATTTGAATATTCAGTGCAGATAGTGTTAACATGTACATTTTACTCTCTGTCATTTTGTGGTTTTTATTCAATTGCTGTTACAGTGTGGGTACCCTTGGTGTGTGTGTTGTGTGGCTAGTTCTGGATTCAGGGGTTTACACCCATCTTTACGTGTGTGATTTCTGTAAATGTCTTCTTGTTAGTGTAGCCACGTTCATCTTCTCATTTGTCCTTTATCTCTCCTGTGTTTGTTGCCCAGAGCTGTGTTAGTCACCCACGCTCACTCGCTCCGGTCCGTGACCACCACCCCGGGTGGGCGGACCTTCATGACTAGTCTACGTTTGGGGAAGACGCACGGGACTCAAGTCCTCGTGGCAGTCGAGCACTGTAGACATTCCTCTTTCTTTTTCTCTGTATATCTGTCTCTTACACGTGGCTCACTCTGTTTGATCAAGATGGGGCAGGAACATGCTAGACCTGCTAAGGGATTGTTAGCTTGCGACATTGTAAAAGAAAGGGCGGGGGAAGATGCAATGTTAAAGATTAAAAAGATTGCCAAAGTGTGTGGTTTCCAGATGTCGCCTAGTGGGAGGTTGCAACCTGAGTTTTGGAGAAAACTGCTCATAGATAAGGAGTGATTGCTATTGGATAATGGGCTTATGAAGGCTGTAGAGGCTTGGTATCGAGTAGCTAGAGGTCTCAAACGGGAAGGGTGGATAGAGGAAGAGTTAGACTTTGAGGGGCCCTGCATCCCCCGTCACTGCTCAGACTCCACCCCCCGGAGGTGTGGTTCCAACCACCACCCCCCTGTGCCCCGTGCTTGGGGCCGATGGTGCTTACTATTACCCTGTGCCACTCCATTCGTTCCCACCCACCCCTATGCTCCAGCCCCCTCCCGATCAGACCTCATCCCACCGTCACGTCCATAGACATTCCCCCGCCTCCCTGTCCTCCACCCCTCCTACCTACACTTGCCTCCACCTCAGCTCCTATCCCGGATCCTGCCCCATCAGCTCCTGTCCTGCCCACAGAGGTCCCCACCCCTTCTCTCTCCCTCTCCGCCCCAACTGCCCCCTCCCCGGTTGCTCCAACTCACCCGTCCCTTTCCACTCATCTATCGTCCCTGCTCTCTGCCCTTTCAACCCTTACCCATCCCACTACTCCAGTTCCCCCAGACCCTTGTCCTCCCGCTGATCCTTCTCCGCTTCCACCCACGGACCTCACATCTCTTCTCTCTGTTCTTTCATCCCCCGCTCAACCCACTGTCCCTACCTCACCTGTCCTTCCCTCCGCACCCTCTGATCCCTCTCCTCCTCCTCCTACCCTTCCTTCTCCCCCCCATCTCCCCTAACCTCTTAGGGTTAACTCGCCCCGCAACCTCTACATCTCCACCTTCGCCTATGGCTCTGACACCTCCCTCCCTTCCTAAAGATCTCTTGTCCCTGCTCTCCGCCCTCTTGAACCTTACTAAACCTACTGATTCAGCTCCCCCATCTCCGCTCCCTCACCCACTATCGCCACCGACCCTCCCTCTACTCCTCCTTCTTCTATAGATCTTGCGTCACTCGTAACCGCCCTCTCCACCTTGTCCCATCCTCCTGTTCCTTTGTCATCTCCTACACTCCCAGGCCCTACACCTCTTACTCCCCAGGCTGATCTGCTCTCCACCCACTCGTCATCACCGTCACCTGATACACCCGCCCCAACTACGTCACATCCTTCTACCTTGTCGTCTCATTCCCCTTCTACCGATTTGTCGTCCCTCCTCTCTGCCCTCACTGCCGTAACCCAACCTCCTATACCCACCCCTCCTAACGCCCCTCCCCCAATGACCCCCGAGCCAACCACTGCCAATGACCTGTCTGCCTCCATATCCGCCCTCATCTCCGCTGTCACGTCCTTGGTTCACTCCGCTATCCCCACCCCGCCCCCTGCAGACTTGCCTCCTCCTCCTCCGGATCCCCCAACCCCTTCCCCTCCTACCATCACTCCCCCCGAGTCCTCCGATCCAATCTCTGCCCTTGCCCACGTCCTTAACACCCACCTATCACGCCCGCCCCAGCCAGCCCCTACGTCCACCCCCTCCATGGCAATGGTCCCCTTTACTCCTCCGGCTAGTTCCAGTTGCCCAATCATGGTGGTTGGGTCCGATGTGTCAGTGACGTCAGACCAACCCTATGCGGTGGGTGTTTCCCCTCAGGCCTCGGGGTTCCACCCAACCACGTCACCCGTCACCGGCCTCCCGGCTTCTCCGGCCTCGGTTTCCCCAGAGATCACCCCTCACCGGGGCCTTGCAGCACCCGAGGAGGTTGACATGGAGGAACAGGACTCACCTCGCCCCGGGGGAAACAGATTCCCCCAACAGCACTCTGTCCCCAGAGGTTATACCCAGGTAATCCAGGAGCAGACGGTGCACCGCCCATGTATGTCACATTTAACCCTTCCCAGGCTGCTACCCTTGTTACCTCACTCCCAGATCCTGAAAAGCATCCCATGCCCTTTTTCCGAAGAATGGCTCAGATTCGAAAAACATATTCCGCTGCATGGCGGGATCTCTTAAGTTTGTGTGAAATTAAAGCTGGGGATGCATACTGGCCAATTATGGCGAGAAGTTTTAATGATGCTCCACTCACCTCCGATACTGATTTTCGTTCTGGTATAACCTTTTGTGAGCAACTCCGAGCCTGGGCACAGGATAAGCTAGCTGATCAGGCTACTTGTATAAATGATATTGTTCAGGACAAACTTGAGTCAGTTGAGAAATATCACTCCAGATTAACTCAGACCTTCTCAGACTTAGGGTTCAGTACTTATAATAAAGCACACACCCAGATGTTATCCGCAGCCTTTGTGGCTGGTCTAAAGGAACACATTCGTAAGGGGTTGATCTTATCTCGTCCAGAATACAGAATTATCCCACTTGACACCCTTTTGTTGGTAGCCAAAGGTTTAGAATCGGTTTTACAACCCACACAAAGGAGAGCTAGCCCACTGATGTTCACTGCACCCACACCGGTCTCTGGTCCTACCCATGCTCCCCAGGTATACACTCAACAATACACTCAGCAGCCCCAAACACTTCCTGTATCTGTTCCCCCTTCCCAGGACCGGGCCCTCACGACAAACAGAACCTGTTATAACTGTAAGCAGACCGGCCATTTCAGGAGGGAATGTCCACATCCCAGAGTGTTCCGCCCGCAACCTCCCCGGTACACTAATCCCCAGGTTACCGGCTACACCTACCCCTCCCCAGGTTACTTCCATTCCTTGCCTCACCCTCAGTTGCCCCAGTTTCTCCCTCCTCCTGAGTATAGCCAGGCCCGGCCACCTGTTTCAGAGGCCCGTGTCTACCCTCCGGCCCCTGCTGATGGGTTTGACACGGATGATTTCCAGGAGAATCAACCCTTGCCTAGACAAAACCGCCCTGCTCCTCCTGCTATGCAGCCTAGCCATCCTCCCACTTCCTCCCGCCGGTACCAAGGGCCCGACCAGGCTCATTTAGACTTATTGCAATAGGTAACCGGCAAGCCTGTGTCAGCAACCCCTGCCATGGCAGTGTCTGTGGGGGAGGGAGGAGGGCCTTTAGCTACTGTAGTTCTCCCCGTAGAGGGTCATCCCACTACCTTTCTAGTTGACACAGGTGCAGCCCGTAGTGTTCTTAGAGAACAAGACCTGCCTGACCCATCCTATTTGTCTGACACCGATGTCTCCTGCGTCGGGGTTGATGGTACACCCCGCAGTAACCCCCTCACTAAACTACTCCATGTTGGGTCACACATTCTCTCTCGGTTTGTTGTTTCCTCTACTTGTCCCATTAACCTCTTAGGTGCTGATGTCCTCTCCCGGCTCCAGGCCTCTATTACCTTTACCGCTGATGGTCAGGTCCAATTAACTACACCCTTATCACAGAAAGACACTTCAGTACTCTGCTCTCTCCCCATACTGTTAAATCTCACTGCTTCCACAGGGAATTCACGGGTCCCACATGCCCCCAGTGCTCTAGACCGGATCCCACCAAAGCTTTGGTCCACCGGCCTGGATGACATTGGACGCCTCCAGGTCCCCCTAGTTGTGGTCAAGCTCTTGCCAGTAGCATTACGTCCACGTAGGCCTCAGTATCCTCTGAAACCTGCACAAGCTCAAGCTATTACCAAACAGGTTGAAAGCCTACTCGCCAAGGGTGCACTCATTAAGTATGTGTCTCCATGTAAGACTCCTCTTTTCAGTGTCAAGAAGAAAACTGCCAAGGGCCAACCTGACCAATATCGTATGGTTCAGGATCTTCGTGCTGTCAATGAAGTGACTGTCAAAGATACCGCCATTGTTCCAAATCCCCACACTCTTTTGTCCCAGGTCCCACCTACTGCCACGATTTTTACTGTTGTGGATCTGGCTAATGCATTTTTCAGTGTTCCACTAGACCCTTCCTGTCGGTTCCTTTTCGCCTTTACCCACAAAGGACAACAATACACCTGGACTGTCATGCCACAGGGGGCCCAGAATTCCCCCACACAGTTTGCCCGTGCTATGTCTTTGGTACTGGAGCCTTGGCAGAAGTCCCATCCTGATGTTGTTCTCCTTCAATATGTCGATGATCTCCTTCTCTGTGCTACAGATCTCCCCACTGCAGAACGAGACTCCGAGGATCTCCTATGTTTCCTAGCTGAAGCGGGTTGTAAAGTTTCTAAATCCAAACTACAGTGGTGCCGGCCCTCTGTGGTCTTCTTGGGACATTGCCTTTCCCATGGCACCAGGCATCTAACTTCACAACATGTACAAGCTATCCTGCAGCTCCCATTGCCTGCAGCACATCAGACTCTTCATGCCTTCTTGGGACTCATCACATACTGTAGGTCCTGGATACCTGACGCCTCGAAGCTCATGCAGCCACTTTATGATACCCTCAGGAGTGAACCTTTCCATCTTTCTGAAGATGCTATTGACTGTTTTCACAGTTCACAATGTGATACTTCAACGGTGCCTCTCCCTGAATCCGGCCACTCTTCTGCACTTCCCAAGGGGGCAGTTGTGGAGTACTGGTACAGCTTGGACATCAACCCAGAGGTCCGAGCGGACTTGCAGCTGCCTGCTCTTGCACCCCCACATGATGAGCAATCAGAAAACTTACTTCACTGCACCCTGTGGTTTAAGGGTAGCCCAGGCCCCGATATGAACTATGAGGAAGAACTGTTTCAACTCAAGGAAATTCCAATTACGCTGACTGACTTACTATGGGACTCCACAGGTAACATGATCTTATTAGTTCATCTCCCAGAAAATGTGACACATCTCTACCATCATTGGGAAACAGCTGTCCCACACATATCTCTCACCAAATCCCCTGACATTCCATGGAGAGATTTAGGCCCAATGGCCAAAGCCTGGAATCAAACAGCCCAGGAACAACTGACCTCTATGGGGATAACCAAAAAGGCTATTAACCACTGTACAGCAGGGTACCCTAGGTACCACACAGAAGTTTGTGAGGACTTACTCACCATAGACTGTGACCCTGACATTCCTCATGATTGTTTTGAACAAATGAAAATGGAAACTACCCACTTGCCAACTGTGTATGAAGCTGCGTTACTCAACCCAGACCAAACACTGTTTGTGGACGGCTCCAGATTTGCTGATGAACAGGGACAATATCATACTGGGTATGCAGTCACCACAGGATGTCAAGTATTACAAGCAGCTGCCCTTCAGCCAACCAAGTCAGCTCAAGAAGCCGAGCTAACAGCCCTGACCGTGGCCTGCAAGTTGTCTGAAGGCCTACGTGTCAATATCTATACAGACTCAAGATATGCCCTGGGAGTGGCACATGACTTTGGTCTAATTTGGAAAACTAGAGGATTTCTTACAGCCACCGGTACCCCAGTGAAACATGGGGCAGCCATTGCAGAACTGATGGACGCTTTAGAACTTCCGGCAGAGGTGGCGGTATTGAAAGTGAAAGCCCATGGAAGGTTAGATTCAGAGGAGGCACGGGGTAACCACTTAGCTGATTAGGCCGCCAAGGAAGCAGCACGACAAGGGTGGGAAGTGGACAGAAGAGTGGCCACTGACACAGTACCTATCTACACCATGCAGACATTACCTACGGATCTCAGGCTTCTAAAGGAACAACAAGCAGCTGCTACCCCCCAGGAGAAACAAAGTTGGAAGAACAAAGGAGTTGTTCTCCATGATGATGTGTACACTATCAATCTCAAGTTTTGCCTACCCAGAAATATGTATCCAGCTGTAGTTCAATGGGCCCATGGGCCGGCCCACCTGTCAAAACATTTGATGAACTCATTGATTGCTAAGTATTTCGAAGCACCAGGCATCACTACCTTGACACAGAATTATTGTAGATCTTGCACAATATGCGCTAAATGTAACCCTGGGAAGATTGTTAAAACCGCACCTAATCACCTGGCCAAGCCCCAATACCCCTTTCAGAGGATACAGATCGACCATATTCAAATGCCAAAAAGTGGACTTTATAAATACGCACTGGTCATTGTGGACATGTTCTCAGGATGGCCAGAAGCTTTCCCAGTGGCTAATCTCACTGCGAGGACTATGGCCAAGCACCTTCTGACGGAAATTGTCTGCCGATATGGAGTCCCAGAAGTGATTGAAAGTGACCAAGGGACCTCCTTCACTGCCTCGTTGACACGGGAAGTCTGGTCACCACTGGGGGTGACCCTTGCATTCCACACGCCATATCATCCACAAAGTAGTGGTAAGGTAGAGCGCATGAATGGCACCTTAAAAGCCAGAATGCCTAAAATGTCACTAATATGCCCTGGCCCGAGAGTCTTCCATTAGCATTGTTTAGTGTGAGGTACACTCCTAGGGGAAAATATAGCCTATCGCCTTATGAGATTTTGTTTGGTACAGCACCCAGGCTAGGTTGTTACTTCCCTCAACAACTTCAGATCCAGTCAGATGCTATGGTTGATTATGTAACTGCCCTCTCACATGCCTTGACCAAAATCCATGCCCAAGTGTTTTCTTCTATTCCAGATCCTGAGTCGAATACAGGTACACACAAGCTGCTCCCTGGTGATTGGGTTATGGTCAAGAAATTTCTCAGGAAAAACACTCTTGAGCCAAGATTTGATGGTCCTTACCAAGTGCTCCTGATCACAGCTACGTCAGTTAAGCTAGCCGGAAAGAGTTCTTGGATACACGCTTTGCATTGCAAGAAAGTGCCTGCTCCAGAAGAGGCTACCCCCACTGAACTATGAATTTGTTATGTATTCTGTGTTTTCTTACGTTGCTACATTTTGCATGGGCCCAACAGGTGGCCATAACCAAAGATAACCATGTTTACACTTTCTGGTACAATTCTTCTAACACTGATGTAGCTACATATACCTTTGACTACTGTGACATTGTTGTTTGCACCTTCCCACAAGCACAATATGCAGCCATATACAAGGACATTCCTAACAAAAAGATCCATACATTTGTGTGACTGGAGGAACTTGGGGGCATCATTGTAGTTCATGGAAAGCCGTCGGGTGGAACACGGGTAGACCATGGGGCTACAGACCCCAGAGTGCATTAGACAGAATTGACAAAGACGGAAAACCTCTACTCTCCAGAATGACCTTAAGTAAACCTATTGGGTCAACTCCCATCAAACTTACCTTGAACATAGAGCACCCCAGCCTGAAAGACGCAGGGGAATATGTAATGGGAATGTACTGGAGGGGAGGCGGTTCATATAATAAACTGGGGACATTTTATCTGCAGGACATGCTTACCTCACCAGACTGGGTAGGAACCACTCACATGACTATTAACCCATTGAAACCGCATATTAAGACTCTACATGACATGGTAGCTATAGCCAACCCCACCTTTGAAGACACCATGGCAGTAGAAACTGGGTTCTCAGACACCAATTTGTGGCTAGAATGGATGAGGTACAATACTAACTCACACAATAAGACTAATTGTTATGTATGTGGAGGAGCCAGGCCCCATCTGGGTACAGTTCCTCTAAGTTTACCTCCTGAAGTAGAATTATGTGTTCTAAGCCTTTATGCACAATCCACCACAAATTCCTCAACATGTGAATCATGGAAAAGGGTTTACCCAATCACCCAAGGACACGTTAGGCCACCCGATGGAGTCACAGTATATCCAGGTAATTACACATGTTATTCGATACCTAAGAACGCTGGTGTGTATCTGGGCAAATTCCAGACGGTAGCTATAACACATTAGACCACACACACATGCATCTTAGAGCCAGGCGTGAAGCCCCCATCCGAGGGAGCTTCGACCCCCATGTATATATTGATGCTATTGGTGTGCCAAGGAGGGTGCCTAGTGAATTCAAAGCAAGGGATGAGGTGGCAGCAGGATTTGAATCCTTGATTCCAATGATAACTGCTAACAAGAATGTCAATTGGATTAATTACATTTATTATAATCAACAGCGCTTTGTTAATTACACTAGGGATGCCCTACAGGGCTTGGCAGAACAATTACAAGCCACCACCCAGATTACATTTCAGAACAGGATGGCCCTAGATATGATCTTAGCCGAGAAGGGGGGTGTATGTAAAATCCTCCCCGAAACTATGACATGCTGCACATTTATTCCAGACAACACTGGGGCCCAATGGTAAGGTAACTATGGCCATAGAGAAGCTAGATAGCCTCTCTGATGAGTTGAAAAAGAACTCAGGAGTCACTGACACTTGGGACAGATGGTTCGGATGGATGAATGGTTGGCAAAGAACCCTATTTCAGGTAGGAACGGCTGTTCTTATAATGATTATCATTTTCTTATTCCTAACCTGTTATGTCCAGTTGTGTGTAGTTCAAAACATTAAGACTTGTCGTGCTCAATTACGGAGATTAACAAAGGAAAATGTTTTTGAATGCTCATGGATATTACAGAGTAATTTTAACCCTGTTGGGTCATGTGACATCTCGCTAGCGTTTTAAGACATATTCAAACCAGGGTTGCTTTAATAATATATTAAATAAAACCTTGCATACAAAAGTACTTGCAGAAAGCAGTGGGGAAGACTATAGATGATGTGACTCCTA